TGGGAAAGGCACTGAAGGCAAGCTGCCCCACGGCAGGGGTGAAGGGGACACAGAGAGGTGGAGTGTGAGCTGGGAGAGGGTGATATGTTTTTGGTAGGTCCTATAAAAATAGTTATTTAAAATGGCACAGAAACGACTCCCCTGACAAACACACTGGGGCGGGGGGGGTAGAGGAAGGGAGGCTGGCACAGGCAGGGACAGGGCACATACGCCATCCATCCCCTCTGGAACTGGCTGGGTGACAGTGCCAGCAGGGAGGAGAGGGAAGGGACAAGCCAGACCTCCCCCCCCGTCCAAGGTGACCCCGGCTGAAGCCAGCGCTGATAATCCCTGGGCTCTAAGAGGATCAGCGGGGACCAGCTCCGGGCAGCCCCGAGGCCGGGGCTCATCACCCACCTGGCCCCACATCTCACGGGCACCCCCCTTTGTCATGTCGTCATCCCCTCGTCCCAACACCTCGATGCTGGGGAGGGGGCAGCGCCTGCGGTCCCCTCTGCCCCCTCCCAGTGCCAGCAGTCTTCGCAGAGCTGTTGGGGGGAGGACAGGCATCCCCCATAGCTCCCAAAATCCCAGAAGCTGGAGGCCACCCTTTGGCAAGGCAGCGTCTCAGATCTCGGTGGCCGTGATCTCCTCGAAAGGTGGGTCGGGGGGGTCGCAGGGCTCGGGTGGGGGGTCCTCCCCTCCCTGAAGCCGGAGATGCTGGAGCCGTTGCTCGAGGCGCCGGTTGCGGCGGTACATCTGGATGTAGCTGTACTGCAGCTGCTTCTGGTAGCGGATGACCCGCTCCTTCTCGCCCTGCCACGTGCCCCGCTCCTGCTCGAAGGCCTCCCGCTGCTCCTGCCCACGCCGCCGCTCCAGGGCCACCTCCGCCCGCAGCCGCTCCAGCTGCCGCCGCAGGCCCATGCTGCCCCGCTCCTCCTCCTCGGCTTGGGGGCATCCCTCGCTGAGTGGTGGTGGTGGGGGGAACCCCTCGGCGGGTTGGGGGCAGCGGCCGCGGGCGGCTTCCCTCAGCCCCGCCACCTCCTGCTCCAGCCGGCCGGCTTTGGCGCGGAAGAGGTCGGCCTCGCTCTTGCGACGCTGCAGTTCGTTGGCGCAGACCTCCAGCTCCAGCGCCTTGAGGCGGGCGGCCTCCTGCAGGCCCTGCGCCCGCCGCTCGCCCACCTGCAGCTGGGCCCGCGCCTCCCGCAGCTGGGCCCGCAGCCCCAGCAGCTCGGCCCCCCGCTGCGCCAGCTCGGCCTGCGCCTCCTTCAGCTGCTGCTTCAGCAGAGAGATCTCCCCCGACTTCTGGCACACCTGCAGGGGTGGGCCACAGAATCAATCAACCTCGTCACGGGTTGGAAGGGAACCTCGGAGATCATCCGAGTCATAGAATCATGGGGCAGTCTGCCATTGTTTCAGGTGGCCCAGGGAAGCTGTGGGTGCCCCATCCCTGGAGGGGGTCAAGGCCAGGCTGATGGGGGCTTGAGC